AGAGAAGGAGGAGGAGAAGGAAGAGTAAGAGAAGAAGGAGACGGAGGAAGAGAAGGAAGAGGAGGAGAAGGAAGAGTAGGAGAAGAAGGAAGAGAAGGAGGAGGAGAAGGAGGAGGAGAAGTTGCTCGAGTGGGCACAGCAATGCACACCTCCAATCCTGGCATTTGGAAAGCTAAGGTAGGCTAATCATAAATTCAAGGATGCCTGTGTTACACCGAATACAGTGTCCCCTTAGGTTTCTATTGCTGTGATAAAGACTTTAACAGGGAAACGTTTATTTCATTTCCCAGCCGGCTGAGGGAAGCTAGGGCAGGAACTCAAGCCAGGAATCCACAGGTCGGAGCTGATGCAGAGGCCGGAGGAATGCCTCTCAATGGCTTGGTCACTCAAGACCACCTGCCCAGGAGGGGCACCGCCCACGGTGGTCTTGGCTCTCCCGCAGCCATCATTAATCAAGAAAATGCCCAACAAACTTGTCTACAGGCCAGTCTGATGGAGGCATTTGCGCAACTGAGTTTCCTCTTCCTAGACTGTGTTACATTCACAAACAAAAACAAAAACCAACAACAGCCAGGACACTCGTGCTGTCTCGGGAAATAAATGCGATGAACTAACTAATTCATTATTTTGAAAACTGGAGCTCCCCACAAGGCCTGGCCCCAGGTCTCGGCACCCTCACAGATCCCTTCGTATCCGGAAATGTGGACGCTTTTGTCAGAAAGTAGCCATCAGACACCGGTACTATCTCATAAATGCCAGCTCCTCCTTACGGTGCCGATCTCAGCAGACCGCAAAGCTTGGTGCGCAATGGTGCCTGCGAGCGAGCTGTCTTGGCAACGGGGGAGATGGAGTCTACTGTTCTGGCTTCCACTCTTGAGGAAGAGCCTTAGCCTCTTAAAGAAGACCAGAGGGTTAGGAAAAGCTCCCAGAGCACATTATTTCAGGAGGTCCCATAGAGAAAGACTAGCATGGATTGGAGAATTCCTCTCAATCTAAACCACAGAGAGGACGGTGCAGACAGCCAGGCCGAGGCCTCCCGAATGGATGATGAGCCCGAGAGAACATAAATCAGATTCCCCAGAATGCAAAGAATGCTTCTGATCCATCACAGAGAAAGCCTGCCTTTGACAAAGGACCCCTTTGAGTCCCTAAATTCCTTTGATGATAGCAAGTGTTGCCTGACCATTCCTTGGAAGACTAAAAAATTTTAGGAGTAAAGAAACTGGTCCCTTCCTCTCTGCCACCAGTATCTGGCTATGGCAGGTGGAAAAGGAACCGTGAAATACTTCAAATCTTCAATAAGTGTGAGTTGTAGTACACAAAGTACCCTCTGAGTTGAATATTCTAGATTAGCCCTGCTCCTCATGGCAATACTGGCCTCATATATTTATTGATCCCTTAATAATGTTAGTCTGAAGTGAGATATGTTATACGTGTAAAATATATTGAAGACTTTGTATAAAAAGTGCAAGTTATCTACTAATTAGTTCTTAAATTGTATGTTAAAATAATGTTATGAATATGGCTAATTAAAATGTTAACGTTGAATTTTCCTGTATGCATGTTTTCTAATTAAATTATTAGCTTAATTTAATCATGTCTATTTTAAAACAAAATCAGTTTAATATTAGGGCAATCTTTAGATATTTGTTGAGACTAGAGAAATAAGCTGCAATATTAGCTTTTAAGATTTTTATTCATTTATATTTTATGTGCATGAGTGCTTTTTCTGTGTGTATATATCTATATACCCAGTAGCTGTGGAGGCTAGAAGAGGGTGGTGTTGGATCCGCTGGAGCGGGAGCTGTGAACTCAACAGACAGTTGTGAGCTGCTGTGTGGGTGCTGAGACCTGAGCTTGAAACCTCCGCAAGAGCAGCTAGTACTCTACTGAATCATCTCTCCAGCCCCAACCTTAGCTTTTGAGAAAAATTAAATCTATAAACTCATAAACTATTTGCACATTAATGGGCTACCACATAATGTTTGCCTGTATGTACAGGCTGTGTTGGTATCTCCTCAAACATACATTAGTCCTTTCCTTTAGAGGGAAATTCCTTATTTTAATCATTACATATGCATGGTGTGTGTATGGGGTGGGTACATCAGAGGAGAGCATTGTAGACTTGGCCCTCTCCTTCCACCTCTATGTGGGTTAAACCCAGGCTGTCAGTCTTGTTGAGCAAGTCCTTCACCCTCTGAGCCATGTCCCCAGCCCCTGTGTGATCTCTTGGTAGCGAAAATTCTTCACTCCAGCCTTTGGTGGCTCATAGCTGTAACTGTCTGTCTCCACTCTGCTGCGGCGCACTAGCTCTTCGCGCCTAACCTCAGCCTAGTGTCCGGGCTGCCCAACAACTGCCCCCTCGCCCCCTTCGCACCGGTTCAGATATCGCTCCTCCGAAGGCTTGAGTCCACAGGCATGGGCTTATCTTCCATTTCTAGATCAGAGAGTCATGCTCGAAGAATGGAACGTCAGCAGGTGCTATTGTCTTTTGATCTATTTTAAACAGGACAGTTTCCATTTTCAAAATACCTCTCTCTCACTTTCCCTGAGGGGGCTACGAGAGTTCTCTGTTGGAGTTCCTTGTGGCATAATGAGAGGGGCTCTCATTTTGATCTTCTTAGTCTCTCAGTTCCTCAAGGTCGGAGCTACGATCCGTCCTGTGATTTGCGTGGCGGCTTGGCCACTGTGGAGGAAATACCTCTAGATTCCGTTGGAGATGATCCGTAGCATTGCCTATCAATGCCAGCTCCCTTTTGCTGGCTACACCTGGTGGCTGTCCATCAGTGTTTATGTATTTTCATTAGTGTTTATGTTTGTAGATGGGCTCTCATCACTCAAGGGGGAACACTTTATTAAAGAGTGAAGGCTGACCTTGGGAAGACAATGGAGTTCTGGCTAGCCCCGAACAATGCTGCTAAAGGAAACGCAGTATCAGAGGCGCTCTGTTTGGCAGAAAACTTCAAGGAGTGTATTTTCTTAAAGAAAAGGGAGCAATGGAGTTAGAATCATAAATAAAATATGCACTCAATATTTGCCACAAGGAAAAACCTTTGTCTATGAAGGGAAATTTGGACAGAAAAAAATTGAGATGTGAATACAGACTTATTTATTTACTTATTTTAGATTTGGTCTCATATATCTCAGGCTTAGCCTCTAGCTTGCTATGCAGCTAGTAACAACTGTGAACTTCAGACTCCCCTGCTTTTCCTCCAGAGTGCTGGGATAACAGATTCACATAACCACACCTGTTTTATGCTCGGCTGGGGATTGTGCTTGGGCTCTATGCAAGCTAGACAAGTATTCCTCTAACTGAATATAGATTGTAGAGCCCAGTAAGACAGGATCGGAACTGGGCAGTACTAGAACCTCTTAGGACTCTTGGTATGTTTAACTTTATACATAATGCATACACCTGTAATCTACCTCCAGCGTTTGTACATAAACAATTTGATTTAATCCATCCTTTGTGGCCAGAAGCTTTCCAACGCCTACAAAAGAAAATCTTTGTGGGGAACATGGGGGATTTTAACATATAAGCCTAAAAAGGCTTATGAGATTATAATATTTAATTTTGAAATACTTCTTCCTCTGCGGTTGCTTGTACCAGTGGGCTATTATCAAAACAAGGATTAGCTAAAATCCAGCTTTGGTCAGTTATAGAAAACCTTTGGGTCAAAGGAAGAAATTTGTTGAAAAAAAAAACTTACAAACATTTTGAAGGATTAAGCAAGTTTCTAAAAGTGTGACTCTAGGAATCCTTTACTTTTCTCTGTTCCAATATTCTTTCCCCCAAAATGCTTTGTGAGCTTTCATTTTATTTCCATAAAACAAAACGTAATAAAAAGATAAACACCATAGTATAATATTCTGGGAAAATCACAATATTTCATTTGCAATGTTTAGCAAAATCTCAACATATTTCGTTACAAAAGAGCACTTAGAAGTCTAATGTCTGGATGAGAGAGGCACATGTCTGTAATTCTGGGACTCAGGAGTCTAAGACAGGAGCAGATCCTCAAGTTCCAGGCCAACCTGGCTTACACAGTGAGATCTTGTTTCAAAAAAAAAAAAATGAAGCTAAGGGCCAAAAAGATGGCTTGTCAGTGATTGAGTCCTTATTGCAGAGGACCCAATAGTTCTATCCCAGAGTGTCAAGTCTAGAAAATGATACAGCCACAAAAAATATAAAAATGACATTCATATGGGGCTGAAGAGATGGAGTGTTTGTTCTTCCAAAGGACTGAAATTCTGTTTCCAGCAACCACAAAGTAGTTTACAGCCATTAGTAACTCCAGTTCCAGGGGATCCAACACTCTTATTGTGACCTCTTGGACACCAAACACACATCTGGTACACATACATACTTGTAGGCAAAATGCTGAAGCGGAATAAAATTACTACTACTACTACTACTAATAATAATAATAATAACAATAAACAAAAGACAAAAAGAACAAGGTTCAACTGGTGACCTGTTCCTGCCAACGGACTCCCAAGGTAGCCGAATCATCTCCATTCTGTTAGGGGATGTATTTGTTTTTCCAGTCTAGTCTGAGAACTTGACTGCCACTTATAACATTGATATTTTTTTATTTTTAAAGAAAGAAGGGAAATAATACAAACAGGAGGAAATGGGCTCAAAATGGATTTTGGGGAGACAATCAATTTTAGGATAGAAACTAAAATGGATGCTAAATAAATTGATCGGTTCACCAATAGATAAACAGATGCTATAACTGCATCCTTTAAGAGACTACAGCTTCTTGTAAAGTTGTTTTCTTCCTCAAGGTCATTAGCCTGCCCCAGGGTAAGCAACAATTCCTTATGTGGAAGCATTTGCCTGATAAAACCCTTCACGCTCCTGGTCACGCTTTGTATGCTAATGAAACATTTCTAAGTACGGCGTGGGGAGCCCTTTTCTAAGCTGCTGTGCAAGCACACAGCTCAGTGAGTTATAGTTATTTCAGAATTTGCTCCATATCCAGTCTGATACCCACCTGCATCACACCCATGCCGACCTGCTTCTCGATGGCTGGTTTGATATCTCAGCGGCCTCCGCTAACCTATCACTCCAGACTCCCTTTTCCCGTAAGAAAATCCTGACCTTCCAAATGCAGTGAGGAACTGGGCTCTCTTGGTACGTAATCTAACACCACCCTTACTTCTGTCTACATGTGTCACGCACAGCGACACTCTCTTGGAATCTCCCTTTTTACACATCAACGGCAAAATGAAGTCATAAGAGAAAAATGCAGATAATGGCATAGCAGTAAGATGAGGTTTACATTCTTCGTTAGAATCTTGGGGATGCAGAGGCCAGGGATGCTCAGCATTGGATCTGAGGGGAACCCTGACTTGTAACATTTACAGATTTCTGTGGTGTAACTGTCCCAGTCATGATAGAGTCTGTACTACCAAAGTAATGCCACTGAGCATAAAGGTGACTAGCTCTCGGAGACTACCATCATTTCTGATTCAGAAGGAATGGTAAAAACATTGGTAACATTTAATGCAGTAACAATGATCAAGCAGCAACTTTGGAGTATTCGTTACTTCTGATTTTGATAGATGGAATTGTTATCATCATTATTATTAGTGTGTATGTGTGTCTGTGCCTCTGTTCACATGCATGCATGCAGGTGTATGTGTGTGTGCAGGTGTGTGTGCATGAGTGTATACATGTGTAAGGAGGCCAGTAGACAATGCCTGGTGTTGTTCTTCAGGACATTTCCACCTGGTTTTTATTTGGTTTCTTTGAGACAGAGTCTCTCTCTCTAGTCTGGAACTCACCAAGTAAGCTAGACTGTCTGGCTAGCAAGGACCAGGAATCGGCATGATTTCACACCTTCCTAGAACTGGGCTACATGCTCATGCAATTTTGTTGTTGTTGTTGATATTGTTTGTTTTGTTTTAAACATAAGTCCTAAGGATTGAGCTTAAGTCTTTGTGCTTACAAGGGGTACTGGTTAGTTTTTATAGTCAACACAATGAAGACCTGGGAAAGAGAGAACATTAGTTGAGGGGTTGCCCGTGGCCATGACTGAGGAACTGTCTTGACTGATTATTGATGTGGTAAGGTCCAGCTCACTTGGGCAGTGCCATACCCAGGCAAGTGTCCTGAGCTATATAGGAGAGCTAGTCAAGTGGACACCTGACAGCAAGTCTAACAATCTCCATGGTTTCCGCTCCATGTTCCTGCCTTGAGTTCCTACCTTAGCCACTCTCAGTAAAGAACTGTAACTTGCAAACTGAAATAAACTTTTTCCTTCCTGAGTTGATTTGGGTCGTGGTGTTTATCACAGCAGCAGAAAGCAAACTAGAACACAAGACTTTACTAGTGAGCTTTCTCCTTGTTAGTCATCACCATCATCATCATCACCATCATCATCATCACCATCATCATCATCACCACCATCACCACCACCACCACCATCATCACCATCACCATCACCACCACCATCACCACCACCATCATCACCATCATCATCATCACCATCACCACCACCATCATCACCATCATCATCACCACCATCATCACCACCACCACCACCATCATCATCATCATCACAAAACTGGGGATTTAATCCCAGGCCCATGCAAACATTCTACCAAAGAGATTTCCCTTCCATGATCTCCGTTTAAGATGTGGTCTTACTATTTAGCACAAGCTGGACCCAAACTTTCAATCTTCTTGCCTCTGCCTCTTGGGTACTGGGATTACAGGTATGTGTCACTACTTGGTTATTTGTTTAATTTTCAGTTTTGATTTTCCTTAGAAACTGGTTCACAAACCTCCTGAAATTTGACAACAGCTCTTCATGGACCAGTGCCACAATAAACCAGCGGTCTATTCACACCAATCTTATTTGAACAGGGGGCTCTCTTACCATCACATTAACTAGGGATCTGTGTTGGGAAAGACTTCCTGAAATGATGGCTGGATAGGATCTGTCACTACTGAATCCAGGACACAACCAAACTTTCCTTAAAACTCCATCCTCATCTCTGAACCAGCTGGGTTTTCTTGGGAAATTCCCACCCTAGTGTTGACCTTACTCAAAGCTACCAGACTCTCCAATGCTGGTAGGCTCATTGCCAAAGGTAGCACAGCTTCAGATGTAGTTAACGTACATGCAGAAGTCAAGAGGGAGATGACCTGTTATTCCGAATCACCAGTTCACATATGCAAAAACTAATGAGATTGTATTTTGCTTGATTTAACCATGTTAAGATTTAAATGAGAGTAATTTTCTAAAACAATAACATAAATCCCAGAGAAGAAAACCTGTCACTTGCAGCAGACAGAGCCAGAATAAAGCATTCCAATGCCCGCCCCTTCCTCTTTCTCTGGATGGCTAGTCTTCTGACAATCCAAAATATTATTTTAGGAGCTTGAGACACAGGGAGAGGGCATAGACAATCCCAGGAGGAAAGGTTACAATCACAGTTTGGTGAAGAGAAAATACTCTCACGATGATAATATGCTGTGACATATTGTATTAAAGTGTGGCTTTTCCATGAGAAATTTCCCATCATCGGGTTCTCATGTAGGACAGGACTAAAGTCGCCCTTAATCTTCAAATCCAGTGCCTGAATGCTGGTGTGACCTGCTATGAAGCATGGCTCTCATACAAATCCTGCACACTGTCATATTTCTGGACAAAGCTGAACACATCTGCCAGGATAATTCCCAGCAAAGAGAATTACAAAAACCAAAACAAAAGTAAACAGAATTCTTTCTCTCCTCTGGAAGCTCAGCCTATCTTTAACGTGATGCCAAGTTCTGCTTCACACAGACTGTCCACGTTAGGGTTAAAGAACTCCTGCGGAGGCTGGATGCTTAAAGAGAAGAAGAAAATGAAAACTGTATGACACCCTCGGCAGGGGATGTTTGGAAAGCTAACTTGGAATGGTTTGTTTAAAATGTACGGCCAGGGACTTTTCACCATTAGAAGTTCAGCTGAGCTTCATCTGAGGATTCCTGACCAGGGGTGGCAGGACTGTGTACCTGGAGGGGAGACCTCCACCTTCAAACCCTTCCCACCCAGCTTTCAGCTTCCACATCATCTGGGTGCGCTGCGCAAATATTTTCCCTTTGTGCTATTTATGAGAAGTTTTAGGTGGCTGTTCTCTGATTTTTGATCACATCATCCCGATAAGGCTCTACAGCTCAAATGTCTGTGTGATTATTATACCATCGTGGTTTGGGTTTATTGAATGTTGCAGGTTAAATTCTGTCCCCGATCTTAGAAAAAAAAAATGGCCTCATCTTGTACAACTAGAGTCATTATAGAAGGAGTGAACTTGGCCACAGAGACATAAATACATGCATAGAAGACAATAGGATGAGACAAAAAGAGAGAAAGGGCAAATAAATAAATTTTCTCAATAAATGAGAAAGGGCAAAACCTTAACGTTTCCTCTGTAGACAGGCGTGGACTGTGTGTGGCAATATTACATGATGTTCTGTTTCCCACCGTACCAGACTAATACACCTGCAGGGTCGAGAGGGCCATGAAACTAGGCAGTATAAGGAGTTTTTCCCTTTGTCCTGGGCATCTGTTCCTTCCCAACTGTTCTCTCAGTTGCTCAACCACATTATAACTTGTCTCAGCTGATGTTTCTTCTGGGACATAACTCAGCTCTTTCAGAGGATGCCGAACCCACATGGAAGGTAATGGGGCAGAGCAACCTTAACATCAGTAAGTAATGTAGCGAATATCTGAGTATTCGGGCAACAGAGCTTTAAATGGAAATACTCTGCTGTTGCTACTCTGTATCTCTACTTTGGAGGACAAAGCATAGCTTGATACAGTGGACCATGTCTATGACCCCTGCATTTAGGAGGAAGGAGGATCAGGAGTTCACAGTCATCCTTGGCTACATGTTGAGCTCAAGGCTACCTGGGCTACATGAGACCTTACCTTAAAAAAAAAAAAAGACAAAAAAGTTAATGTATGACACATACCTAAAGTATTGATAATGCCTGAGAGTTAGAAATAGTTCATTTTATAAGAGATGACCTTCACATACTAAGATGCCATGTCGGTTCAAGGACTAATAATGTTAAATTCAATGAAAGGAAGGGGGGGGCGGAGAGGACATATCTCTTCCTGATTTGGAGGCTTAAAGCTTAAATAGCAGTGCTTTCTAAATTCTCTGCAAAGAACACAATTAACTATCAAAATTAGGAAAACCCGATGAACATGGATCTCATAATACATAAAATATTTTTTGTGCACAGGAAATAGGTAATGGGCAATCTTTATTTCAAACATTTTCTAAAACACCATTGTTATCTCCAGGGACAAGGACCGAGATCATCTTCTGCAGAAACGTGGGAACTGTGTACAGAATTATGGCAACCGGGGTGATTGAAGAGAGTGAGTTCTGAGAGACTCAGAACCAACAGCATCTGGGCCAGGAAGGCCAGAGGCGTCTGAATAAGTCTCCGCTGCTGTAAGGGCAAGTCCTGTGGAGATCACAGAACACCACAGGTGCTGGTTTTTGGAAGGCTTAGGTACAATACAAGGATTCTATCTGCCTACTTGGCTACCTCCCCTGGCTGAGGCCCCATATGGCCAAAGTCACTCAAGTCCTGAGTGTCTGAAGTTCTGCAGCAAAGAGTATGAAAGTGAGGATCAAGAGTCTTGAAAAATCATTCCTATGCATGGCAGTCCTGTAGCTTTCCCTGAGACAATCTCTCACACTGTCTGGAATTTGGGGGCCTTTATTTTCCAGGTGGCAAGACTTACAGGCTCTCTTGGACTCTGCACATGAAGTAATTTTCTTGTTTTTCTGTTCTTCTTGCTCTTGATACTCTTTGTTCCCCTTGCGCCCCTCTCGTTCTTCTCCTACCACCCCCTCCTCCTTCTCCTTGACAAGGTCTTGCTGTATCTCAGACAGGCTTTGAACCCGGGATTCTGGTTGAGTCTTTCCAGGGCTGGGGTTACAGGCAGGCCCCTATAGCTATCTTTTCCACAAAGCAATTTCCTGAGGGGACAGTCTTAGAGTAATCTGGCTTAGTTTTACTTTGTGCAATGTTTTATTTTCATATAAGGTACATACATAAATGTGGATAAGCCGTAAGTTCATAGCATAAGGAATTGTTACAAGACACAAACCACACTCAAATGACAAGCTCGAAAAGTTTCAGCATCCCAGAGTCCTCCTTCATGTTCCCTGCTCTATGCACTCTCTGA